TATATATATGAACATAAGTCAACACTTAGAGGCGACAGTCTGTTTCATGCTATATGCAATCGTCAGGCCTGTTGCATGAAACAGACTGTCGCCTCTAAGTGTTGACTTTTATGTTCACTTTTATATTTACACACGCTCTATCTCTGATATCGAGCACTTTATCCCATAAATATAGCACACCTTAAGACTATATTTCTTCATATATATATATATATATATATATATACAGGGAGAGAGAGAGGGTGAAAGGTTTTTGTCTAAGGGTTGCAATGTATCCCCTTTTCTGCGATGCACAACATCTTGCAGTAAAGAGTGTTATCGTAATTTGATAAGATTGCGAAAGACAAGTTTTTCCTTTACTGAAGAGTTTATACATTTTTTTATCGAACTCTCTCTCTCTCTCTCTCTCTCTCTCTCTATATATATATATATATATATATATATATATATATATATATATTTATTAAAGACATTTTTATGTTTAACGTTCTTTTTTATAGATACAAGTATTTAAGTAAATGCTCTGTTTATAATAAACAGTATTAAATAACATTTACCGGCCTGAATTTCCGAGAAATTTTCATAGAAAATATTCGTCCTTTAAACATAAAATGTCTTTAATAAATAAATTGTCGGACTTTTCTCCATTTCTTAATATATGACGTCGTTTGTTTACATTTGATACGCCAGAGCAGTTATGAAATGTACGAGATTCATGGAAGATTGAAGTTTATAAGCAGTAAATTCGACCTTGTCTACCGAACGCTCCTTTGTGGCCGGTCGGTAAGGCACGTCGCGTAAATGACGGTTCCGTATAGGATGCAGTTTCGAATCCTGTCAAAGGACGAATATTTTCTATGACAGTGAAAGGATGGAAACGAGGTGCCAGCCTAGTAGCTCGCTTAAATTCATGCAGTCTGGGAATCAGTGAAAATAGCTCGTCAGCACAGTTGCCGTGAAAATACATGTAAAAAAGACAAAGTGAAACCACAGCACGTCTGTGAGAAAGCGACTCTAGACGAAATGCCAGAGCAGGACATATTGCATTGCATATTATTCACTGCATTTTGTCGAGGAAATCGAGACGTACAGCGGAGGCACCAGACCATATATAAGAGCAATATTCCATTTCCATGCAAGGATGGTTGGAATATATATATATATATATATATATATATATATATATATATATATATATATATATATATATATATATATATATATATATATATATTATGACGTACCTACGATTTCATTAACCAAAAAGGCGTCAGGCTAAAAAGGACTCCCAAAGAAAAATCCCAAATTCTAGTCGAAAATTAGTTAGATATAAAACAAAAGGAAAATAGATAAGATCCAATGCTTTCAACTTGCGAGCCACCAGCCATACCATCCTCTTCTCTTCACATAATCTTTTCCTCTTTACCTACTCTTCCACCCAAGGGTCAGTGAACTTTGAAGCGACCCGACCCGAGATGCCCTGGTTCCAAAATCCAGCGCCCATCAGACGGTTGACCTTAAGTGAATTCCAGGCACCATCAAGCTCTGCTGCTGCGATTTACGTGTTCAGATCCTACTGAGGCTTGATTGAATTTCGTGATTTGCGCCCCATCCTCCTGCGTACCCGGTCAAGGACGGAAAGAACCCACATGACTATCTTTGGGGAGAGCACAAATCTAAAAAGTTTTTCAGTTTCGAGTCTGACCAGTGGCAAATGAACATCGCTGGGCGAATCGTCCCGATTCCAACTGAACTGCCCACCGAAATGGAGAAGACAGCAAAGTCTGTCGACTACAGAACGAAAGGACTGCTACTACGAAACTGAATCGACCAACGAAACGCCTGTACGAGATGCTGTGGACCCCAACCATTTCCAAAGAAAAGGAACCCAGGAAAGTTGCCGGCCGTCCAAAATATTGTTTTAACATAAGAACTTTCGCTTCGGCGAATTAGAATTTTGTGTGGAGATATCAACTCAACTCACAGGTAAGTTGATTTCTTGGCTTGATTTATATATATATATATATATACATATATATATATTCGCTCGAAACTGCTGTTCTTTCATGATCCCTTTCCGCTTTGTTAAATGAATTTTCTTTTTCTTTCTTTACCTGATTAAGTATTTATAAATAAATATTTTATTTTGGAATCCATCATCTTGCGTCTGTTTTTTGTTGACTCCCTTGAGTCTCTTCCATTCCTGGGTGAAGACTGAGAAAAGATCCCACATTTCCCTTTTTTTTAAACCCGTGGTTCACCTATATTCTACAAGTTCGTAACAATATATATATATATATATATATATATATATATATATAACTTTGGTTCGCGCATATTTTGTTTACGTTAACGTAGGAGAACCAATTTACAGTTAGCAACCTATTAACTTATAAAATTTAAATTTGTTGAATTGTGATTTGCGAAACGTAGCTTAGATGTGGCACAAGGTTGAAAGGATGGGCCACCCAATGAGGATCGAATACAATACTTAGATCATAAACGTTCTAATAAGACAAGCTTGCTAACCACGACACCACGTCGAGGTGATCCATATCTGTGGTATGTCGGGCTTAAGTTATAGTAATATAAAGAAAAATAGAAAAAAAAATATTTTAGATCAAAATCCCGGGACGGATTTAGGTCTTGAGTTCCCTGGGTGAATAAAATTTGAGGTCTCCTTTCTTACATATGTTCGACCCACCTACGAGTCTATAAAAATATATTTTTACATAATAGTTTTAGGTATAATACATGAAAAACTTCGACAAAAATGTACATTAAAAATCTATATGTCTATAAAATAGATGCTTCAAAAACTAAATGCGGCCATGTGGAGGTCCCCATTGAATTTAAAAGATCCGTTTCAACTAGAGGGGTGCCCCTTGAAATCTGAAAATAAATGTACCATCTCTGTTCTTATATATATTTTTTTAGTTTTATCAAGGGCCCAAGATCAGAGAGCATTTTGAGTTCTCCTTTTAGGCCGCCATCAAGCGCATCTCATATTAGTCCATGTGAAAAATTCTGCACTGTCGCAGTCCTTATTGTACAATCTCCATCGAACGTTCATTTTATTAATTTCGCATCGAAGTACCACCCACACATCAATTCCAATAAGCACAACAGTTGTGCAAAATGGCCATCAAAAACACTGAAATTTACAGTCCGGCTCAGCTAAAACGGATCTATTCGAACTAATAGGCACACATGCTACTTCCTAGCAAGAAAATCGCTTGCATTTGACTCTCACATTTCGCCTTCGTTTATCGCCGTCTAAAACTCAGATCGAGTGCTGTTATGTGTATAACAGCGCGAGAAGGAGATCGAAGATTTTGCAGACTGCTGCAGAAAATCACTTAGAAGTTCAGTACTCATTTCTTTGTTTCTAACGTAATTTTCCTCTTTCTTAATACTCTACTTAGCTTTTGGAGTGCATCTTTTGCTATCCCAATGCGCCTTCGGATTTCATTGTCGCTCTCTGTCCTCTGTCAAAGCCTATTCCCAGATATTTAAATTTTTTACTTGTTTGATTTTATCTCCGCTTTATAATTTGAATTTTGGGCTCATTATTTGATAACAACTTGCATACCTCTTTCAATATGGCCGTGAAAGCTGGAAAATCTCAAAGATGAAGAAGAAATTTGAAGCAACAGAAATGTAGATCAACAGAAAAATGTTGAAGATACGACCCACAGAATATGTAAGCATATTAGAGTAATTTATAAAAAAATGAAAACAAAAAGGAAGTTTATACTTAACATCAGGAAGATACAGCTGACATTTCTAGGGTACATAATGAGGAAAATTTGATACTCACTTTCGATTTCATTCCTTGTAAACCCCTTGCATTCTAGTGGAATTATATCCTTTTGGGCTGAAACGATATATATATATATATATATATATATATATATATATATATATATATATATATATATATATATATATATGTGTGTGTGTCTGTGTGTATTTCCAAGAGGATAGAATCCAGGTATAGTTCAGTGTCCAGGACAGAGCAAAAATATGATATAAAAGGCTCAAACACTAATATTGCATGTTTATAATTTATGACATTGGAATCGTAATCACGATCCAATTCATCAGACCTACAAATTCAAAAATTTGAATTTCTAGTGCTAATGAAATCCATCGTGATTACGATTTCAATGTAATAAATTATAACCATGGAATATTAGTATTTGAACCGTTTGTATTTTATATATATATATATATATGTATATATGTGTGTCTGTGTGTATTCAAATATAAAATGTTTAGAGAACGCAATAAAAAAGATTGTGTCGCCTTCACCCAAATATAGAATCGAACTCAACCAGATGAAATGTGTAATAAATTAGTTAGTGTAGCTCTGACAGTAAAGACGTGGGTGCTATGGAACATCCACATTGTAGGGGGTCCAGAAAGATAAGCAGTCTCCGAAGTTCTAATCTTTCTTTCATTTTTTTTTGTCTTCGGTAATAATTGCATGAGTCTACTAGGATTATATGAAGTCTGGATAGAAATGTTCGGCACGTGAAAACTACTGACGCCCACTGTTGATAGAATAATATAAACCCCGGCAAAATGATAAGGTTGGAAAGCAGCCAACGAAGGTCAAGTTTGCATCAGATCACGTCCCAATTCCACGCTGCTGCCCCTCAAGGCATCAGTCAATAAATCCGCTGTACGGAGCAAATCTAATATAATGACTGCTTTGTCTTCGGCTCGGGTCGCTATCTAATCTCTGTTGTAGATAACATCTCAGGCAAATTTGCATTTTTTCAACACCCACAGAGAAAAAAAAAACAACTGTCATTTATACTGCAACTACCCTGAGCAGTTTACTTAAAGTTTCTGGGAGATAGCTCATAATCGACCGGGAACAGTAGCTGAAAAGAACCAGTCCGCTGAAAACCTCGTTCATGATTCCGTGCTAGCAGCAAAGTCCACGAGATCCTAGCAATTTTGTATGACCAGTGTCTCCCATATTTTAAAGC